ACGCAGAGACACAGAGATAAGCACAGAGAAACAGAGAGAGAGAGACATACACAGAGAGACACATACAGAAACAGAGACAGAGAGACAGACAGGGGAAGAGAGAAAGAGAGAGAGAGCGAGAGAGAGAGAGAGATAGAGAGAGAGAGAGCTGGGGTTACGGTCGGGGCTGACGCTTCTCTCACCTCTGATAACTATCAGTGGGCGAATGTAATCTGAGAAATATTAATAATTTTTTTATTGACGAAATACGAGAAGAGAGAGGCATTGGCCCTCAGCACCCACCTCTTTCCTAGCTTCCTCGGTAATCAGACCAAAGCCTTCGGGAGATGATCAGAATTGGACATCTACATTTCAATTATTCGTAATTGTAAAAAAAAAAAAAAATTAAAAAATAAAAAAATAAAAAAAAATAAAAATATATATATATATATATATATATATATATATATATATATATATATATATATATAAATATATATATATATATATATATATATATATATATGTAGAAATATATATATATATATGTATATATATGTGTGTGTAGAAAGAGAGAGAGGGGGGAGGGAACAGATTTATTTGAGGTCAGTAGAATAATGTAACGATTAACGAGTTAACCCATCAAACCAAAAATATTTTAGGACTAAAAACATGCCTACAACCGATATATTTGTGTACCTTGTAGAAAAGTAATGGTTAACGTTCTAATCTAGCGGCGTGATATTATGGGTTAGAGCGTTCAGCATATACCGTGTAATCGACACTTGAGGCTTTCAAATGACATTAAAAATAGAACTACACTAGCGGCTATAAATGACAATGAAAGCAACGCCTTAAGACTGTAGTGATTACGCTTTATGAAACGGGAAAGGTAACCTCACTTGAGAAAAATTGAATGTATGGCCATGTTGTGTCGGAAATCTACCACCCCTCTTGAAGATGAACTTGTCTGCGTCTGTGAACAAAGACTTTAAATAGCGGCATGGCAGTTGACATGACGGAAGACAGATAGACCGAGAGGGTAAGACTTCCGAGTCTAGCTGAGTCGTGATACAGTCTTTGTAAGCGACGTCTGTCGAACTCTCTGCATTAGCAGAGAGGAACCCGGACGAAGTTTTGCCGAAGGGCAAGGTTTCGTCCGGGGAGGTAGACAGGGCCTGAACCCGTCTAGCCGGGTTCAAAGGCTATATTTTTGGCCGAGCCTACGGGCTCGTAGATACCCACATTAAACCGGCCTTGTGCCACATTCAATCCTCGTGGGTGGATCGATAAATACTAAGACAGATAGACAGAGAGGGTAAGACCTCCGAGTCTAGCTGAGTCGTGATACAGTCTTTGATTGTAAGCGACGTCTGTCGAACTCTCTGCTAACGCAGAGAGTAACCCGGACGAAGCTTTGCCGAAGAGCAAGGTTTCGTCCGGAGAGGTAGACAGGGCCTGAACCCGTCTAGGCGGGTTCAAAGGCTATATTTTTGGCCGATCCTACGGGCTCGGAGATACCCACATTAAACCGGCCTTGTGCCACATTCAATCCTCGTGGGTGGATCGATAAACACCAAGATAGATAGACGGAGAAGTTCTTAGCTGAGCTAGTTATTGACTACTCAGGCGATTTCTGTACCTTTTTACCAACCTATTAAAACCCTTTTTATTGTTACGTGTTATTTGGCGTTTGTCTCTACTAACCCCAAATGAACATCATAACAGGCCAAAAGGAGGGGAATGTGTAATTTGGAATTATCTATCGAACAAAAACAATCATCAAAATCTGATGAAAACTGTGGAAACGCATAAACAACATCCGATCACACACGCACACACACACACGCACACACACACATATTTTAAGAATTATAGATATATATCCTAGCAGTATAACCCCTCTTCGACCTGGTGCTTCATTACTGAGAATTTTTACCATTTAATTGGAGCAGTTTAAGTCTAAAGTCAGCCCACCTAAAAATCAGTATTAGTAACAACTGGATGCAACTGAGGCACATCCCCAACTGGGGCGGGTAGGGTAACAATTTGAAGGAGGGGGCTGAAAGGGCTTTTTTTGCGTTCTTAATCTTGCAACGAAGTAATCTCTTCCATGGACCGTCATAATAATAATATACGATAATTTTTATTTGTAATATAATTTTTTTATAATTCTAATAATCTTTTGCGTTAGATTCCAACTCTCTAAATTAATGTACAGATTTTAAATTTTGCCTTTGATTATTGCGCAAAGTGTAAAAAATCAGGGTTTTTTTTTTTCGATTTTTCACCTTCAAGGTTGTAATTTTTTCAGCCAATTTGAACTCAAAACCGACACTGAAGAATTATCTATCAAACATAAGAATTTCATCGAAATCGGATGAAAACTGTGACAACGCATAAAAAACATCAGATAACACACAGACACACACACATACATATGAGAATTCTAGATATAGATTATATATATTTGAGTATTTTATAGTAGATAAGGTACCTCCAAAGAAACGCGATACTTCAGGTGAAAAATGAATGTTTTAAAATGAAAAATCTTTCTTGAGGCTTTTATTTCAGTTTAAATTTCTAGCTGATATATTAAATTTAATATTCCCCATAAGCCAAATACTTCGCTGTATTTCAAAACTAATTTAAATTGACTGGAAGGAGATTTTTTTAATCGCTGACTTTAGCCATTTTTAGCCATCTGTCAGCAACAATATAATTCTTTTCATTAAAAAACTTTAAAAAAATAAAATATACTTTTTTGAAACTTTAACTGTTCATAAGAGAAAAAAATTGCTGATTTAAATTCTCCAAGGACTTCTGCATATAACTAATAAAAACGTTAAGCCGTACAAAAATGAATTTCTTGATACTTCATGAATTAATCCTTTGAGCCTTGCGTCCCTGAATAATTTTAACCTTTCTGCCTGAACTCCTGAGTCAAAATTCGCAAATAATTGCTATGTAATGTTTCACGGTAGATATAAAAACGTTTACAATTTTTTACCCAACGTTCAACCGGTTGCTGGGCATTACGTCATTTTTCTCTACCACTGGTAAAGCGGTGGTCAGAGTTCAAAGTCTTCTTTCATGCTTATAATATAATCATAATTTGAGGTAGAAATTTAAGTGTTTTTTGGGGGGTATTTTTTTTACACTAATAGAAAAAATATGGCACTTAATTCTTTGAGCTCTGCGTCCCTGAACAATTTTAACCCTTCTGCCTGAGCTACTGATTCAAAATTCGCAAATAATTGGTATGTAATGTTTCATGGTGTATATAAAAAAGGTTAAGCAACATTGAACCTGGTCAGTACCTAGATGGATGATTACTTGAGAATACCATGTACTGTAAGCCCCTGCCATCATTCATTGGACCAGCGGTTGGGATAATGGCCCATTCTTCCCCAGGAACGTCAAAGGGAAAGATCTGGATAAGGCCTACGTCCAACAAAGTACATTCACATGATAATTAAAATAAGATTTTCCTTTGAATTACCAATTCTTTCCAGATCTTTCGCAAGGTTCTCAAGTATATTTAACCTTTTGATCCTGACGTTCCTGAATAATTTCAACCCTTTTGCCTGAGATCCTGAGTCAAATTCGCAAATAATAATTATGTAATGTTTCCCGGTAGATATAAAAAACAGTTACAAGTGTTTACCCACCGCTTAACCGGTCGCTGGGCATTACGTCATTTTTCTCTACCATCGGTAAAGCTGTGGTCAAAGCTCAAAGTGTTAAGGAACATTGAGCCTGGTCAGTAACTAGATACATGACCACTTGGGAATACCATGTACTGTAAGCTCCTGTCAACATTCATTGAACCAGCGCGTTGGGATAACGGCTCATTCTTCCCCAGGAACGGTAAAGGGGAGATCTACGGCCAACAAAGGACTTTCACCCTCTGAGCCGCTTCCTTGTTGATATAACTGACCCATTGATCGGAAAGTCTCCTTCATATGTCCGAAACTCCGCCCACTTCGTGGAAATAATCAAAGATGCTCCCATCCTATCCAACCAGATGGTGAGCTTGGACGTGGTGAGTTTGTTCACCAAGGTACCCACGGAGGAGGCATTCTCAGTAGTCAGAGACAGATTGGCCTCTGACTCATCCCTAGAAGAACGGACCAGTATTCCAATAGATAATCTGATGGAGATGTTGACTTTCTGTACACAAACAACACACTTCGGTATAGGATCACACATATATCGACAGGATGAGGGTTTAGCAATGGGCTCGCCATTATCACCAGCAATGGCGAATATATACATGGAATACTTTGAGGAAATGGCATTAGAATCTATATCTCTAAAGCCAACTATATGGTTAAGGTACGTAGATGACACCTTCATACTCTGGCCACACCAGGAAGATGTTCAGGTTCTACTGGACCATGTGAACTCACAAAGACCTTCGATACAGTTCACGACGGAGAAAGAGAGTAACAACACACTCCCATTCCTGGATGTTCTAATATCTCGAACAGAGCATGGGTTCAAGACATTCGTATACCGCCAACCGACATTCACCGGAGAGTACCTCGTTTGCTCGCAATATATATTCTGGTTTATTCGGATACTTTTTTTCTGAATAAATTAAGTTTCTTTTGTAGTTCATACATATATTTATGTTGTAAAAACCCATTTTAACTTTACGAAGCTTAACCTAGCATGGCACAAGGTCTTTTATATGATGCAATTGGAGAGTAGTTATAATATCATAACATTATGTTTCTAGCTGTCAGAGTAATATAAACAATAATGGTCGTGGTGACCACAATGATATTTAAAATATGGCGACGGTGTTCGCTGCAAAGGCGCGCCTGGCAGTTTTCGCCCGCTAATATTCCTTGTGGTGGTTTTAGAGGGCAGTTTTAAAAGAGGATGTCTCGTGCTCGAGGGAGTGGCAGCGTCGTGGGCTGTGGTGGTGGTAAAGGCCAGGCCAACTGATGGAAATAATAATTGCTGTTTAATTTAAATTATTCTCAAATTTCGACATCGAAGCAACCGGAGCGATGCGTAACATTTTCCACCCGGCGCACCCTCCAAGTCCCTTTAGGGGGATTTCCGCCGTCCATCGACTGATAATGATCGGAGAGTTGGTGGGACGAACGAACGGATCGAGTTACGGAACACGGATAGTCTTGCAAGTGGAATGATAGCGAAAAATGCCGATTCGGATGTCGTCCTTCTCTTAGATTCCTTTTATGAAATTAATAATTACCTCCCTTTCCGGCTTATCTCCAGCCTCGTTTTCGGTTTCCTTTATCGTTCGGATATTCGAATGGAGTCCATTTGACTTCATTTATTTCGTTAGACTTAAAAATTTCAGGTCTATTTCAATTTCGGTCATATTCTCTCGGTCCATGTTTCTTGTATGTTTTAATGTTTTTTCTCTTTTTTTTCTCTTTTTAATTTTCGTCATTTCATTCTGCTTTAAAATGTTGTTTTTTTTTAACTTTTTAATCACTCTTATCTGTGCTTTTTTTTTAAAAAGATATTATTGTTTATTTCTTTTTGGAAACACAAGATTTTCTTCGTTTTTCTTCGTTACGTCGTCTTTCGTTTCCTCTTTGTTTTCATTCATTTTTCATCATTCTTCGATATCTATTGCCAGCTTATCAAAATAATATTTAATTATTTTCTTTCTATTGACTTCCCCCTTTCCTTTCCTCTTTTCTTTTCTTTCTTTATTTCTTTTCTTTCTTTTTGTTTCTTATCTTTTATTTGTTTGTTTCTTTTCTTTTTTATTCTTTTCTTTCCTTTTCTTTCATTCTTTCCTTTCTTTACGTTTCTTTCTTTTCATTTGTTTGTTTCTTTCTTCTCGTTTCTTTTTTCTTTCTTTCTTTCTTCTCGTTTCTTTCTTTCTTTCTTTCTTTCTTTTCGTTTCCTTTCTTTCTATTCTTTTCTTGGCTTATTTGTTTGTTTCTGTTCTTTTCTTGATTTTCCTTTTTTCTCTTTTTTCTTTCTTTCAAATTTTCACGACATATTTTTCTTCCATATTTTAATTTTTTTTATTTAAAGTTCTGTAATCATCTCCACCCTATTAAATCTGTCCTTTAACTTCTCTTTCTTTCTTTCTTTCTTTCTTTCTTTCTTTCTTTCTTTTCATTATGTTTCTGTTCTTTCTCAATTTTCATTGGTTAAAACTCATCCTCATTCATTTTTATATTTATTCCAGCATATCACACACACACACACACACACACACACACACACACACACACACACACACACACACACACATATATATATATATATATATATATATATATGCGCGATACTTATTTGAAAGCTCTCAGTACAGGTGATACATATAACATACTTAGTTGTATTGATGTGAGTTCGTGATCCTAGTTTTCACGCCCTTGCGATGGTGATACAAACTGATTTATTGCTCACACACACACACATATATATATATATATGTATGTATATATATATATATATATATATATATATATAAAATCCAAGTATAGGATTGGCGCATACGGAATAAATTCCAATAACCCAAAAATATTATTCTTAAAAGAGTGCTCAATACAGAGTAGAGCAAATATAATTTTTTCGAAAATTATAACATAAATATGTTATAAAATCACTACAAAAATAGCCATTTTGTTTCAACACTTCTGGTGTCTTATCAAGTGATGGTATTCAACACTATCACTTGATAAGTCACCAGAAGTGTTGAAACAAAATGGCTATTTTTGTAGAGATTTTATAACATATTTATGTTATAATTTTCGAATAAATAATTATATATATATATATATATATATATATATATATATATGTGTGTGTGTGTGTAAAATTTCCATACCTTTTTGAATTGAAGAGTGCTCTGGAATATTCTCAGAGCTAATTGTAAAATCCAAGGTAAAGTATGGATGATACTAAGTGATATAATTTAATGTCTAATGAAAGGAAGTGAGTAAACGTTATTATTGTTGTTGAATAAAGTCATTTATGTATTTGAGCGTGTTGGACAAATACAAATGTACCTGAGCTGGCGTCTTCAACAGAGATTAGCTAGACGCCATATCAGATTGGTGTACCCGGAAATATATATACATACGCATTTATCGCCCGTGGAACTCACTTCCGGCACCATGATTTCTCACAAATTTTGATCTTTCAAAAGTTTAAATGCAATGTCAATCGTTATCAAACTGTTTTCCTGATTTCTCTTCTTTTATTGTTCTCGCTCCTTAATAATTATTCTTTTACACTTAGTAATTCCTTGTCTCTCTATCGTCTTGATTGTGGTGAAATGGTTAATATATATATATATATATAGTTGAATGTTTATGATATCATTATAGAAGGAAACTCCCACACGTTTGAAAACCACTCAACATTCACAATGAAGAAAAAGTTAAAGTAAAACTGCAAAAATTTGATTTATGTACTCAAGTGTACAAATTGCAAAAAATCCTATATAGGTATCACCCAAGCACTAAACAACAAAGTTTCCTTTCATAAAAGCAACATTAAATCGCCAGACAACAGTGTAGATTAACACTTTAAATTAAATATTAAATGAAAGTAAATAAATATTTATGAATATTCGACGACAAAATCAAAATGTCAATGCATATTTTGGGGGTACCCTGTATATGTAGTGCAATAGTAGCATTGTATCATTATTTCAGACATTGCAAGAATTAGTAATGTTTCCATTTATTTTAGCGTTTCAAATGGTTGACATTATTTCAGCTTTTATGTTAGATACAACGTGAAGTTAAGATAGCGGGAATATATATCAAACTGAACCTAGGCAAAGCGCACAGATCCTTCAGTCACCTTAGGGAGCGAAATCATATAATTAATTTACAGTTCAGACTAGACTTTCTACATTTCCTTCATATTCCATTTGTAAGGAGTAATTTCAACTTGTCATTTTTTCCCCTGAGAACTACTTTTCTGTAGAAAAACCTTAACTTCGTATCAAGCACCTCATTCAGTGACCATCTACAAGGAGGGTTTCATTTGGTTTGGTTTGGTTTGTTTTACGGCATAGCAACCTGAATGGGTCATTTAATGCCGACAACTTTTTTCCTGGTAATATTTTGTTTTGTCAAAAATCTATTTCTGGTAATATTTTTTCCTCAAAAATGTATAGGTGGTAATATTATTTTATAAAATATATTACTGATAATAGTTTTTTTACTTCAAAAATTTATTTCTGGTAATAATTTTTACAAAATTTTTCTGGTAATCAAACCTATTTTTACACTTTCATAATGCTTTTTATCTTAGTTTCGGGATTAACTATTTTTCAATAGCTGGGACCCACACAGGTGCTACCACCCCGGGCCAGGGTGGGCCTGAGAACACCAGCAATTAAGAGGTGGTTCCATGCTCCTCAAAGCATTCTGATCAGATGCTTAGCTGTTGGACGTATTTTATTGTCTTACTCTGTACGCGGATATAGTTTATCGTCTTACCCTGGACGCGGATGTAGTTTATCGTCATACCTTGGACGCGGATGTAGTTTATCGTCTTACCCAGGACGGGGATGTAGCTTATCGTCTTACCCTGGACGCGGATGTAGTTTATCTTCATACCCTGGACGCGGATGTAGTTTATCGTCTTACCCAGGACGGGGATGTAGCTTATCGTCTTGCCCAGGACGGGGATGTAGCTTATCGTCTTACCCTGGACGTGGATGTCGTTTATCGTCTTACCCAGGACGCGGATGTAGTTTATCGTCTTACCCTGGACGTGGATGTAGTTTATCGTCTTACCCGGGAGGCGGATATAGTTTATCGACTTACCCTGGACGTGGATGTAGTTTATCATCTTACCCTGGACGCAGATGCAGTTTATCGTCTTACTCTGGACGCGGATGTAGTTTATCGTCTTACCCTGAACGCGGATGTAGTTTATTGAAGTACCCAGGACTGCTAAGAGGAGTATCTCTTGAGCCTTGTAATGGAGGATCTCACAGAATATTACAAGGATAGGTTTGGTCACATTATCAGTTTTATACGCATACAGCGAGATTATTTCTTATTCTTATGTTATTAATAAATTTAATTTAGTACAACACAATGACACATTTGTGTGGCAAGCTGTGTAGGTAACACAATATTTTTGGTTTGCTTAATTATCTTGTTAACCGTAACCTCTTTGCAAGGTAGCCAAATACGTGGTCGGGTCGAAAAGTATTGGGACTGGTGGTATAAGCAGAAAACTATAACACATATCAATTCAGCATTTAATCTGCTTCGAATATATCCGTCTGTGTGATGAAGAGTAACTTTCAAAGGAGTGACATTTAATTCGTTGCTATATAATAAGTGTGACGATACTGTTTGCTATTTGGCGTCAAAGTCATAGCGTGAATGTGATAATGAAGGCTAAGGCAAATCTGTAGTCACACAAGAATAGGCCGCCATAAAAGAAGAACAAAAAAGTGTTTGTAAGGGGGCACGATTTATTTAGTGTAATAGACAGGTACTTGACGGGCCCGGGATTAATTTAATGCAATAGATCCACACATTGAAGTGGCCGAAAATACTTGCAAATATTTTAATTTGCATCTATCTCTATATACACATAAATATATATATCTGTTTGTATGTATAAAAAAGGTATATATATATATATATATATATATATATATATACTGCGTGCCAAATTATTATCGAGATAACTTTTTCTAATAAAATATTTCAAAAAATATTTCAAAAACCGTCCAATCAATTCACACAAAATTTTCACACAATGTTGGCCACACAGACCTACGCAATCACTGAAATTTTCGTACTGATCTAATGTAAACAAACTGGCGCCATATTTGTTATCAGCACTGTGATTTGAGCGTGCCAAAATATTAGAAAAGTGTAAGAATTTAATGAAAAGATGGGCCGTAAAAGCAGTTTAAGTGATGCTGAAAAGAAAACTATCACCTCAGAACTCTCAAAAGTTAAATCTACCCTAGAAAGGGAGGTGTCATCAAACTGTGAAAAAGTTCACCGCCGACCCTACACAAGTACGCAAAAGGGCAGATAAAGGCAAGCCGAAGGTTATTTCACGTCGTCTCATGTCACGACTTAAACGAGAGGCCACGAAGAATCCTGGACTTACCAGTCAAGAGCTTTTCAGTCGCATTGGAGATCCTACTGTGTCTAAAAGTACTCGGTGTCGGTATCTGACGGAAATATTAACAACAGTTAAACATGTATTGAAGCCTTCGTTGACAAGAAATCACATTCAAAAAATGGACCGAGGACAATATGAAGATTTTGTTTACAGACAAAACTCGAGCAACACTTGATGAGCCAGATAGATGGTGCAAAGGCTGGGTAATGAACGGACAGAATCGCCATCAGCGTTTGAGACGCCAACAAGGCGGTGGAAGCACAATGATTTCGGGTGGTATTATTGGAAAAACATTAGTGGGCCCATGGAGAGTACCAGATGGCGTCAAAATGACTGTTGATGCATACATAGCGTTTATGAAGGAGCATCTTGAACCGTGGATGAAAAGGCAAAGAGTTGCCTTCTGAAGGGCCATTGTTTTTATGCAAGATAATGCTCTCTCACATGCTGCTCACAAGACTACTGACTATTTGAAATAGTTAGGCTTCGATGGACCTCGAAAAATGAAGTGGCCAGCAAATTCTCCGCATTTGAACCTAATCGAAAACCTTTGGAGCATCATGAAGCGAAGACTATACGCCAACGAACGACAATTCAGGAGCAACGCTGAGTTGTGGGAAGCAATTCTTGACATATCTCGCGGCATTACAGCAGATGACATTCTACAATTAACAAATTCTATGGATCGTCGACTTCTTCAAGTAATTTCAAAACAGGGATAGAACATTCGCTATTAATTTGTTTAAAACTGTGCCTTTGTTTGTATCTGTTATTATTTATTAGCTTCTTTTGATCATAAACATTCAAGTGCAACATTAATAAGCGTTTCATTTGCTCATTTCTGGGAATTTTACTAAACCTTTCTAATAATTTGGCACGCTCAAGTCACCGTGCTGATAACAAATATGGCGCCAGTTTGTTTACATTGCGCAGATCAATGCCAAAATTTAAGTGTTTGCGCAGGTAAATGTTGCCAACATTGTGTGAAAATTTTGTGTGAATTTATTGGACGTTTTTTGTAATATGAGAAGAAAAGTTATCTCGATAATAATTTGGCACGCAGTGTATATAATTATTTATTCGAAAATGATAACATAAATATGTTATAAAATCACTAAAAAGTAGCCAATTTGTTTCAACACTTCTGGTGTCTTATCAAGTGATGATATTGAATGTAGAATAAAGGGATTTAAAAGCTTCAAATCGATCAAACACCCCTCACTAGGGGAAACGCTGTTACATAAGATGGGATGACAATCAAAATACAAGTATATGAGAATTCAAAAACTTTACTACGAACTAAGATTATAATAATTATTTAATTCTTTAATGTTGGGGTTAGACTAAAATAAAATGTATTCTAACTAATAAATATTAAATTATACAGTAAAATTTGAAATTAAAAATTACCCCTTTTAAAATTTAAATTTAATCTATATTAAGTTTAAAATTACCGAGGAAAAAAGAAAAAAAATAGATATGTTATTCAATTTATTTTGTTTTTATTGAGATTAAGTTGGAATAAACGATAATACCAAATGTTGCTCTGAGCTTCATGACAACATATTGATAATTTTCGAATAAATAATTATATTTGCTCTACTCTGTATTGAGCACTCTTTTAAGAAATGTATTTATTGGTTATTGGAATTTATTCCGTATATATATATATATATATATATATATATAGTGATCATACAATGTGGTAGGGAGAGCTCTATGTCAAAAGACAGAACAAAAAAATCCCACAGCTGATATTAAAATCCCACAGCTGATATTTATTTTATTTCATGGGAGCTCTAAAAAACAGCAATTGCCAATCTTCAAAACGTACAAACAAATCACAAGTGAAATGAAAAAAAAATCTGAATTAAAAACAAGAGATATTGCTATCTTCTACTAAAGATCTATAGCTACCTTTCCCCCACTTTCTATATATATATATATATATGTATATATATATATATATATATATATATATATATAGTGCATTGGTATGCAGATATATATATATATAAGTGCACTGGTATGCAGAAAAGAACATGTTGGGTGCATAATCCGGTGTTCCTTAGTATTTTTGTTTTTATTTTTAAGAAGACAGTGCTCCATACAGAAGTAGAGCTTTATTATAATAATAATTTTTGTTTAAAAATATGATTCCTTCGATACATAAGAGTTCTCATGTTTCAAAAACGAGAGCCGAAATCATCCAAATAACCTCAATTCAACTTAAATGTAATAATTATTTGGATGATTTTGGCTCTCGTTTGAAACATGAGAACTCTTATGTATCGAAGGAATCATATTTTTAAACAAAAAATTATTATATATATATATATATATATATATATATATATATATATATATGTGTGTGTGTGTGTGTATATATATATATATGTGTGTATATATATATATATTTTTTTTTGTGTGTGTTTATATATATATATATATATATATATATATATATATATATATATATATATATATACAAAATTTCCCAGAATGATTTCGTGGATAAGACAAATTGCTATACCAATTTGTCTTATCAATAGAATTTCTGGGAAATTTTACCATTTGTTGTCAAGGAAAGCAAAACCAAACTCTTAGGAAAATGGAAGTTACCATTAACAAGAAAGAGACTTACGCAGGAGTATCTCTCTTAGTAAAATTTTGGATTTAATTTAATCATGACAACAAAAACATCAGTTATTCTATTATTTTGTGTATTTCTTTTGATATTATGGTTTGGTTTTGGATTAATTCCCTCCCCCACCCCATTACGTATCATCGAAAGATTTTTTATAGAATTTTACAATAGTTATTTTTTATGTCATTTGGTGTTTTTGTAAGTGCCTTGAGAGTATTGCGGTATTGTGGTATATGTAGGATTGACTGGAGATGGATAAATTCTTTTGGTGGATGTGCAAATTGTAATGAGTGAATGGGTCGCGAATCTGATTAGTTTAATATAAAATAGTAAGTGATGACCAGCCTTAGCAGATTTCCCACCATTTACAGCCTTGTGCCACAATTATATTTTATATACAATAAATCTAGACAGAAAAAACATTTCGCTGTTATTGTTTGCCTTGATAAAGTCGAAAGACGAAACGCGTTGGTAAAAACTAAGAATGTTTTCCAATTTTCATTCTTTTATATATATATATATATATATATATATATATATATATATATATATATATATTGATGCATGTTTCATTAAATGATATAAACAAGATCTGTCTATTTATTTTAAGAAAGTTACTTTCATATTGTCTGATAAACTTAATAATATTATCATTGAACGACGAAAGGAAATCACCATATTGATACATGTTTGAATCCAATCTAAGCTTTCGGCTTACATAAGCCTTTGTCAAAGATGACAATTACATTTCATTATATCCAATGATACACGGACGAAACAATAATGATAGTCTGTTTTTGTTGCATGAAAAATCTCGAAGCAATATTAAACTCGTGTATACGAGACGCGGAAGCGAAAATCGCGTAGCAGTTCGTGACATCACACATGACCATGTGAGAGTGAAAATGAGAAGTACTAATCATGGGAAGTCGTTGGTAATAAATAAAAAAATATTACTTTTTATATATATATATATATATATATATATATATATATATATATATATATAGATATATATATATAGATAGATAGATAGATAGGGTAGAGAAATAAATTACGAATACACTTAGACAGACAGACAGACAGACGGATATGAATAGACTGAGAGACATGGAGATATAGAGAGATATGAATACGCATAGATAGATAGAGTGATAAGAATAGACTGAGATACATTTAAATAGGTATTCAATTAGATGGATAGATAGATGGATATGAATACACACACACACATATATATATATATATATATACATATATGTATACATATATGTATACATATATATATATATATATATATACATATATATATATATGTATATATATATATATATATATATATATATACACATATATGTATATATATAAATATGTATGTATGTATGTATATATATATATATATATATATATAGATAGATAGATAGATACATAGATAGATAGATAGATATGAATCGACTGAGATACATGGAGATATAGAGATATGAATATATATATATATATATATATATATATATATATATATATAATGTATTCATATCATATATATATATATATATATATATATATATATATATATATATATATATATATAATCAAGCATGATTCCTTGAATAATTAGACAGATTATATATATTTATTTTTATTTTAGATATATCAAGATTATTAACCAAATATGCTTGAATTAAAATATATGCTAAATAAATATATATATATATATATATATATATATATATATATGGACAGTTTTAGTATCCTCATTAAAGGAAGAGTAAAAATTAAGCCAGTTATGTCCTATGCGAGATACACGCTTAGGCGATCATGTATCTTTCGCTACATGACTGACAAGGCAGTTTTTTTTCGCAGTAGGTTTTCATTTATTTCTGCGGTAGACCAGTTGCCATCCGAAGCTATAGATCCTGGTCTGCTCTGCTGTTTCCCCATATCTGGGGGGCAGAAAAGGATTCATACATGTCCCAAGGGTATTAGCACGCAAGTGAACGTAATGGATACGACTGGAATTCGAACTCGGCTCTCCGATTCGTCCTACGTTTATTCCGAGTACTTTCGACATTAGTACACTGTCATCATCAGGGTGCTGTTTTTTTCTTTTATGACGGAAGTGCTCATCGTGTGTGTATGTGTGTGTGTGTGTGTGTGTGTGTGTGCATATATGTCTGCGTGTGTGTATGTTGACAGTCTTTTCATATCTATCTATCTATCTATCTATCTATCTATCTATCTATCTATCTATCTATCTATGTGGGCCTGTCTATCTGTCAGTATGATATATTTGTTTATATTAAATACTTTAAAATACGCAGTTCCATGTGTAAGTTTGATTTTTGACATTCATACAAAGTCGTAGAAACTCAATCTTGGTATATATATATATATATATATATATATATATATATATATATATATATAAGTGTTGTCCGATTTTGGTGGAAGTGTGAACGACATGTATCGGCTCGTATATCGTTTTGATAAATCATGCGAGGTGCTAAGCTGCGAGAAGCCAGTCTACGCAGATGGAAAGGCCATAGAGGCAACCATTGTCCGCTTCAAGGGGAAATAGACTTTGAAAAATGTACACAAATTAAGTTGGATTATCCGAGCGTTGAGAGGGGATAATAACTATTAAAGATGGATGTGTGGATGTGACGAAATAACTCACCCTGTTTTATACACAGAAAACCGATCGAAAGAAAGAGAGACAGATATATATATATATATATATACAGACAGATAGATAGATAGGTAGATATGAATCGACTAAGATTCATAGAGAGATAGAGAGATATTAATAGACTGAGATAGATAAGATAGATAGATAGATATATAATATAGTGGGATACATTTAAATATGAATTCACTTGGATAGATAGATAGATAGATAGATAGATAGATAGATGGATATGAATACACTTATATATATACAATAGATAGATAGATAGATAAGAATAGAAACATTTAAATATGAAGTCTCAGATGGATAAATAGATAGAAGGATACGAATACACATTATATATATATATATATATATATATATATATATATATATATACAGATAATATTAGTGGTAAGAATACACATACATATGCAATCATATATCTAAAATATATATACATACACATACATATATATTTGTATAAAAAAAAATTCCAAGAGGATAGAATCCAGGTAGAACTCCACGTCCAGGACAGAGTAAGGATATAATAAAAAGGCTTAAACACTTATATTCCATGGTCATAATTTATTCCATTGGAATCGTAAATACGATCCAATTCATCAGACCTACAAATTTAAAAAAAAATAGAAAAAACAACTCCGGGAATAAAAAATAAAATTCAGTGAAAGTGTATGTATGAGAGTATGGGACGAATGTTAGAGTAAATGAAAGCTATCGAGAGGGGTAACAGACGAGAAAAGAACAGGAGAAGAACGGGAAGGTCTAAAAGATGAAGTGAGGGGATCAAAATTTAACAGAGAGAAGTTTCAGAGAGGTGAGTCAAAGACGGTTTAAGTGAGAGAAATATGAATGTTGTCGGATGTCTAATACATTAAAGATGTAACCGGAAAGGATACATTTTGTGGTGACATACACACACAATAGACGATCTAATCTTAAAGATCAGAAGATGAGAGAAGGAGAGGAAAAGAAAAGGAAAAGGGTTGGGGAGAGATATGGGGTGGGGGGAACTAAAACCGAATGGCATTTATAAAAGGGCCACTGTGTAATTAATAAAATTTGACAAAATTAATATCGACTACAGATTACAAATCAAATATAAACATAAAAAATAAATATAACGATTATATAATCTAGCAAGGACCTATATTTCTATGTTCAAAAACACATGCGTATACACACATACACAACCGCATATATTTACAGGTACATACACACATATAGGCGTGTACACATATAGACTGCGTGCCAAATTATTATCGAGATAACTTTTTTCTAATATTTCAAAAACCGTCCAATCAATTCACACAAATTGTTTACACAATGTTGGCAATACTGACATCTCTGAAATTTTCGACCTGATCTGCGCAATGTAAACAAAGTGGCGCCATATTTGTTATCAGCACGGTGATTTGAGCGTGCCAAATTATTAGAAAAGTGTAAGAATTTAGTGAAAAGATGGGCCGTAAAAGCAGTTTAAGTGATGCTGAAAAGAAAAACTATCACCTCAGAACTCTCAAAAGGAAAATCTACCCTAGAAATTTCTAAAATGATAGGAGATGTCATCAAACAGTGAAAAAGTTCACCGCCGACCCTACACAAGTACGCAAAAGGGCAGATACAGTCAAGCCGAAGGTTATTTCACGTCGTCTTATGTCACGACTTAAACGAGAGGCCACGAAGAATCCTGGACTTACCGGTCAGGAGCTTTTCAGTCGCATTGGAGATCCTACTGTGTCTAAAAGTACTCGGTGTCGGTATCTGAGGGAAATAGCAACAACAGTCAAACCTGTATTGAAGCCTCCGTTGATGAGAAATCACATTCAAAATCGATTGAAATGGGCCGAGGACAATATGAAGATTGACTTCTCTAAAGTTTTGTTTACAGACGAAAATCGAGCAATACTTGATGGGCCAGATAGATGGTGCAAAGGCTGGGTAATGAACGGACAGAATCGCCATCAGCGTTTGAGACGCCAACAAGGCGGTGGAAGCATAATGATATGTGGTGGTATTATTGGAAAAACATTAGTGGGCCCATGGAGAGTACCAGATGGCGGCACAATGACTGATGATGCATACATAGCGTTTATGAAGGAGCATCTTGAACCGTGGATGATAAGGCAAAGAGTTGCCTTCTGAAGAGCCATTGTTTTTATGCAAGATAATGCTCCCTCACATGCTGCTCACAAGACTACTGAATATTTGAAACAGTTAGGCTTCGATGGACCTCGAAATATGAAGTGGCCAGCAAATTGTTCGGATTTGAACCTAATCGAAAACCTTTGGAGCATCATGAAGCGAAGACTGTACGCCAACGGACGATAATTCAGGAGCAACGCTGAGTTGTGGGAAGCAATTCTTGACATATCTCGCGGCATTACAGCCGATGACATCCTACAATTAACAAATTCTATGGATCGTCGGCTTCTTTAAGTAATTTTAAAACAGGGAAAACACATTCCCTATTAATTTGTTTAAAACTGTGCCTTTTTTTATCTGTTATTATTTGTTTGATTATCTTATTTATTAGTTTCTTTTGATCATAAACATTCACGTGCAACATTAATAAACGTTTGTTTGCTCAATTCTGGGAATTTTACTAAACCTTTCTAATAATTTGGCACGCTCAAATCACCGTGCTGATAACAAATATGGCGCCAGTTTGTTTACATTGCGCAGATCAGTACGAAAATTTCAGCAATTGCGCAGGTCAGTGTTGCCAACATTGTGTGAACATTTTGTGTGAATTGATTGGACGGTTTTTGAAATATTATAAAAAAGTTATCTCAATAATAATTTTGCACGCTGTGTACATATAAATATACCCATGCATATATATACACATATATATATATATATATATATATATATATATATATATATATATATATATATACACATATACATACACACACACATATATATATATGTATATATATATATATAAATACATAAACACACACACATACATACACATACATCCATACACATCCACTCCTACATATATACACACATTTACACACATATACACATACTGACATACACATACGTTCACATAAACATGTCTACATAAAACCTTACATCTCCATACAATTACATACACCCATCTAAACAAATAAACAATGTATCCCTATATCTATCCGTCTAACTATACATACATACATATACACCCATATACAGATATATATGAATGCATACGTACCAAAATATACACACACATATAAACACATCGACATACACATCTACCTACACATGCATACAGCCATATACGCATACATATATTTACACACATACATATACATACATATATATACATATATACATACACATACACACACACACACACACATATATATATATATATATATATACTCCTACATATATACACATATACACACACACATGTACGCAACGCACATATACATATCTATATATAAATCAAAATGTAAAATTTAAAAAAGTAAAATTTTAAAAAATGGTCTAAAAAATTAAATACATAGCGCATCACATAAACATACACAATATATATAGATAAACATCATAGTCATTCCATTAAAATGTCATGCCTGATGTTATTGAACCAAGATGGAACAGACATAAGTGACAACACGTTATAAAACGGTGCTTATGTTTTGAATCGTTTCTTATGTCTACATTTAGAAAATATCTCACTACGAAGATTTAGCGACTCATCTTGATTCTTAGCTTTAATAGTAAAAATTTTTCCGCCATGCACAGATCACACCGATCGCGGGAGTTATTAGGGGTTCTAGCTCTTAATAAGTATCTCCATTCGAAAAGTGGGGTTAGTCCCTTATCCACCAGATCTCAGTAGTGTTTGGATAAGGAAGTTTGATTTCTGAGGTATCTATATCTAAAAGAACGTCTATGGTTGTATAGACGCTGCTTCCAATCACCGGCGGATATACCTATATATCTTTTTTTCTGGTTTATGTTTTCCTCGGGGAAGATTGTTGCCTCGTATACTACATTTTCATACATACATTTACCCCCGGTTGTTCAATGGTCTTTATTCCTACAATTGCAGGTAGGGTTACTAGATTGAGTTCCATTACCGTGGTAGTTTCTAAGTATTCTACAATTATGGGAGATATGATTATCTCCATATTTCTAACGCATCAGTAACTAATTTTCAGTGTCTTCCTATTGAAAATTTTATGTAGTGGATGTTTACTATGGAAGTGTTTATCAATTAATCTCAGAAAGAAACTTTCTATATCAATATTAGAGAGCCTGCAATATGGTGGGTTGAACCATATTACCTTTCTATTTCTGTTTTTAGTTCTATTATTATTCTGATTTACAAGTTCTCCGTTAAAGTTTAATTCTTGTCTAAAACCACTATTTTTGAGGGCCTGATTGTATATAAATTTATTATCGTTAAAGATTTTTTGGCAAGAAGTATTCACAGTTTTGGGGATGTGATCTATCCCATGTTTAGGGTCGTTAGAGTGGACGTTGATGTATAGGGGTGTTTGATTAACTTTATGGAAGGGTTTAAAGGTATCATTCGATAGGTTGGGTGTAATATCTAAAAAGTTGACTATTTTCAGGTTGGAAGATATTTCA